AAGAAATGGGTTTCTTTTTAAAAAGGGAGATGGAATAGAGAGAAGGGAAACGGTCTTTTAGGGGTTGAGAGCTCACCCAAGTATCTTCCCAAAAAAGAATGGAATTTCCAGAGCAAGTATCGTACCTTACAAAACTGAGGAACTTAGGGAGAATGCCAGAGATAGCCTTCCAAGGTGTAGTGAACAAAGCCCTTTGGGATACTCCCGCATCCCAACCTGATTCAGAACAACCATGGATACTTTTCACTACTTCATGCCACAACCTCTCCCTCTCCAAGGGCCACCTCCAAAGCCACTTACCTAAAAGAGCCTCGTTCTTGCTCACCACATTCCCTAATCCTAGACCTCCTTCTTCCTTACTCCGACACACCACCTCCCACCTAATCAAGTGATCTTTTTTCTCTTCACCAAGTTCCCATAAGAAATCCCTCATTAGTTTTTCCAACCTCTCTGCCTCCCTTTTAGGAATTCTAAAGACTGACAGGAAGTATAAAGGCAAGTTGGCTAAAGTTGCTTTAATCAAAGTAACTCTACCCCCCTTGGAAATATAGTTTCTCTTCCAAACTGCCAATCTTTTTTCAAATCTTTCCACCACCAGGTTGCATTACTTTCCTTTGGATTTGCACCTAAAGGAAGTCCTAGGTAGGATAGGGGCCACTGAGAGCAAGTGCGTTCTAACAAGGCTGCTATAGACTCCAACTCCTCCCTGTTCAAGTGAAATCCCACAACACAGCTCTTCTCAAAATTTACTTTTAAATTTGAGGCCCTCTCAAAGTGAGTTATTAAATCCTTCAAATTCCTTACCTCCATCAAATCACAACCTTCACAAAAGATTATTATGTCGTCTACAAATTGGAGATGGGTTACTGAAACTCTGTCTCTACCTATTCTCCACCCTCTTAGAGATACGGTTCTATCTGCTTCTGAGAGGAGTCTACTAAAAGCATCGGCGACTAAAGTGAAAAGGAATGGTGACATAGGATCACCTTGTCTCAAACCCCTACTAGCAGGAAAAAATCATTAACTACCCCATTGACTAGGACGGAATAATGGCAATCGGACAAGCAACCATTTACCCATTTGCACCATTTATCCCCAAACCCACACTTTCTTGGCACAAGTAGTAAGAATCCCCAATCCACCAAGTCATAGGCCTTTTCAATATCAAGTTTGTAAACAAAACCTTGATACCCTGATCTCCTTATCTCCTCCACACATTCATTTGCTATTAGAATCTGATATACAATTTGTCTCCCCTGAACAAAAGCTCCTTGCCCTTGGCTAATAAGACAAGGAAGCACCTTTTTTATCCTCAAAGATAAGACCTTAGCCACAATCTTGTAAACATTAGTCACCAAACTAATAGGTCTAAAATCCTTTGGATGCTTGGCCTCTTTCTTCTTGGGAATTAAAGCTAAAAAAGTAGCATTAATTCCACGACTCATCACTGGGTTATCCTCAAATTCCTTAAAGACCTCGATTAAATGTTCTTTGACTACGTTCCAATAGTCTTGGAAAAAAGCCATTGTAAACCCATCTGGCCTTGGTGCTTTTGACCTGTCCATTGAAAAAACGGCTTTTCTGATTTCTTCCTCCTCAAAATTCCTTTCCAGCCAACTTCTACTCTCTTCTGGAAGCCTCTGCCAGGTAACGCCTTCCAACTCCACACTAGGTCTTAGGGGTCTCCTCAAAATGGATTTGAAGTGCTCAACAAAACAATTGGCTATCCTCTCTTGGGTATCAAAGACTATTCCATCCACTTCCAGTTTGGACACTAGGTTTTTCCTTCTCCTTCCATTGGCTAGATTATGAAAGAATTTAGTGTTCTCATCTCCTTCTTTAATCCATTTACATCTAGACTTCTGCCTCCAAGAAATTTCTTCTCTCAAAACAACTTCATCTAACTCTCTTTTTAGTTCCCATCTCCGATCTCTCTCCTGAGGGCTTATGGTTCTTTGAGATTCCTTCACATCCAATTCCTCTATTTGGGTCAACAAAGAAGATTTCTTTTCTTCTATTCTCCCAAAATGCTCTCTATTCCACTACTTCACATGTGCCCGCAATCTTTTAAGTTTTTTTGTGGAATCTTACCCCTTTCCACTTCACCCCCCTTAAGTCTTCTCTCCACCATTCCTCAACCTTCTTCACAAAGTCCAGGTGAGTCAGCCACATGTTCTCAAACCTAAAAAGTCGGGGTCCTTGCCCAAAGGATTCCTGTCCTAAACCAATGGGGCAATGATCAAAAGTAACTCTTGGTAAAGCCCTAGTTATCAAGTCCGCCCACTTATTTGGAGCAGGTTGGTGTCTCCTGAAAGTTGGACCAAGTATAGAGGGCTTGCAGCATTGGGAGTTCTTTTAATTCACAGTTATTAATAAAATCATTGAATCTCCGCATGCTGGTTGTGATGACCTATTGGGGATTATTTGATTCATTCGTAAATCGGGTTACATTGAAGTCTCCCCCCAAGCACCACGGACCATCCCAAAGCCCTTGTATCCCATAAAGTTCTTCCCAAAAATCATTCCTCCCTCTGTAATTGCTTGGTCCATACACATTAGTTAGTGCCCAAGTAAATCCATCTTCTACCATCCTGAATTTTAATGACACTAAAAAATTTCCTACTAGCTCCTCCACCACCTCCACAACATCCTCTCTCCAAAAAGTAACAATTCCCCCTGAGGCCCCCCAAGAAGGTGCCGACACCCAGTTTATTCCTCTAGATTTCCAAATACTTCTTGCCCAACTTCTATCAATATCGGCTAGTTTGGTCTCTTGTAGCATCACTATACCCGGCTTTTCCCCTTACATTCCAACTGATGATTTTCATGGATATAAAAGATTTGGCATCCCCTCTTGAGGTCAGGCCCCTACGTGGAGCCTTTCCTTCTCTCCCCTCTTCTGCTAAACTCCAAATTTTCTTATATATCTAATATCAGCCTTTCCACCTCTGATCTTTTCTTCTTCCTTCAGTTGTTAATTGTTCCAGATCTACTTAAGGCTGCTTTTGTTTCATTTTGCCTTTCCGGAAGTCCTTGGCTTTCCTCCTCAAATTCCTCTATTTGCCTATGACCTCAAGGAGGGCACAAATCTGTCCCCAAATCCTCTCTAGTTCCTCCTCCTGCTTCTTTCCCATAACTGATTCATCCCCAGCTTTTTTGCTACTCTGAGCCCCTGTTTTTACTAAACCTTCTTGAACCCCACCCTACCCTACCTCTTCCTCCTTTCTCTTATACTCCTACAGATCTGATCCCAGATCTTCTCTAACTCCTCGTCCTGTAATTTCCTTCCCCTTTCCACTTCTTCTCGTTATTGACCCTCCTTATCCCCAATTAAATATTTTCCATCCATGGCTTCTGAATCAAGTTGAGCTGCAAAAGTACATGTTCCAAGCAGAAAACCCACATCAGTACCAAAAAACGAATTGACAATATTACTTGACAGGTTGTGGAAAGAGGCCAATGGATCTCAAGAAGCAGAACAAAGGGGCAAGGTTGTTTCTATTCCTTCCAAAAGAGGTGACTGTGGGTCCTCATTATGTTCAACCAAAATTGTTTTAGTCCTTGCATTAGAATTTGCCTTTAGATGCTGTCCCCTGATTGATACCTCTGTGTTCAGTGACCGAGGTATGTCCTGTTCCTTTAGTCTTCTATCAATGCCTTGCTGCTCTAGCGAACTGGGAGCAAAATTAGGAGCCAGTAACCTTTGCCTCTCCTCTATAAGAGCTGCGGTAGACCCCACTTCCTTAGGTAAGGGTGAGGGTTGAGTGAACTTTTCTTGAACTGAATCTTTTAAAACCGAATCTTCGTATTCCAAAAACAGCAGCTCGATATGTAGGCTCTCATTGTCGCTAAGGGGTTTGGCCTTCTTCAGTTCTACGCTTCCAAAACTTGAAGAGCCTTCAGACTCTGAATCTGAGCTGCTTCCTTCCTCCGTCTCACAATCCTCAAAAGCATCCATGGTATTCTGGTTATCTATCGCCGGAATGATGGAGAACTCTGTCTCCACTGTCGTCGGATGAGGCTTCTTGAACCTCAGATTGCGCCATTACGGAGAGACGCCCTTTTTCTTCAAGCTTGGGACCCATGCCCAGTTCATGTTTGCCGCACCACTGCAGCGAACCCTACTTCCTGCAGGCGCTGGTTGCGAATGGCTCAAGGGAGACACTAATAGACCATATTTTCGGTCCATCATCTCCCCAACTCCTTTGGTCACGTGCCCACTTAAAAGGGCGCGTGACTTTTTAAGTTTTGGGTCCACCCGATTTACAGTAATCAGCCCATTCTCTTTATTAGATCCATTAGATCTTGATGGGCCTGGGCCCAACCCCTCTGTCCCCTTGCTAGCTTCTTTGGTCACGTGCCCACTTAAAAGGCCGTGTTGCTTTTTAAAATCTGAGTCCACCCGGTTTACGTTAACCGGCCAATTTACTTTATCAGACCCATTATATCTTGATGGGCCTGGGCCCAACCCCTCTATCCCCTTGCCGGTCACGTGTTTACTTAAGAGAACATGTGACTGGCCTTGGTTCGTTGAACCAGACTGAACCGGCTCACAGGATTGGCTCGAGCCCTGAAACCTTGCCAACCCTTGTTCAATTTGTTTTGAAATTTGAACTGCAGCAAGCCTGTCTCCAATTAATTCCCCTGTCACCGTCTGAACATAGGACCTGCCATCCCTCAGCCCACCYTGCCATGCAGACTTTCCCCAAGTGTTTAAATCATCCTCTTTTTTCTCTTTTTTCTTGGGGACCACAGTTGTCTTAGCTTCTCTTGTAGAGACTACTTTGCCTTGCAAACCATGCAACCAAGCCTGTTCTGCCCCTTCATCTTCCTCTCTCTACCCTCCTTCCATAGCTAGGCTTCAATGGAGGTAGCAAGCCAAAYGGGGTAAACTAAACCATCTGAAACAACCTCTATCTTCCTTGGAATGTCACTGGGTTTAACACCACTTAACAACACAGCTACTGAATGGAGATCACAATCAAACACACCATCTAATCTTGCATCACAGACTACAGCTATTGACTGTAACGCTTCCTCCTTCCAGAGGTTGAAAGGTAACCCAAGCAATCTGACTGTTATGTTGTCCTCAATCAATAAACTTTTGGTATTGGAAAGAGGACACCATTTCGAGACTGTGGCAGCACCAGCCTCTGAGTRAATAACTAGAGCTGAAATCTCTACTTCATCTTCACCCAGATCTAACAAAGCTTTACAAGAGGCATAAGGAGTTATCACCATCGGCTTTTGCAGGTTCAACTCTCTGAGTATCGCCTGTGCAATACCTCTCCAATGAAGTTTCCACCACAAATTTCTTCCCCCAGTTCTTCTCTTCTATTGATGCTACAAGTTTGCAGCTTTTTTTTCCTTTTTCTGCAATCAACCAGTTTCTGTCACTGGAATCTTCCTCTCTCTTTTGCATATCCCTTTTCTTTTCCTTTGCTACATCCTCTACTTGTTTTGCTTTCATCTGCTGAATGAAGTCACTCAAGACCTGTGCCACTGCCTTCCATCCATTACCCCTTCTACTTTCTGGGAAACAGACCACCTGCTTTTTTCTTCCCCCAAAGAATTCCTGCAGAGTTATGTAACAACTTTTTGCATTCTTTTTGCATTCCAACTCATACCTCTTCCTTCCATCAACGTTGAATTTCGTAAAGTTCATCTGTTTACCTTTATAACTTGCTTCTGAAACAAACTTCTGCATCCATTCTATTACTTCAAGACCTTCCAGCAATATTGTAGCTCTCTTTGCCTCCCTAATCTTCAAGCTCTGCTGGCCTCTAATCCTTATCTCTTCAAGAATGAAAACTATTGCTTCAATCTTTATCTCTTTCCTCCATTTTTCAGCTTCTATAAACCTGTTCTCCATCTCTCGTGAATCCAACTAGGTATTAAATATTCTTTGGTAATGTTGGGTATTTCACACGAAGTGATAGAAACAAGCCCTAACAACCACATTTCAATCGACACTTCTCCTCCCATTGCTGCTGCACATCTCAGAGGAAGGAGGGACTCCCTTGGCTCCTGCTGCATCAACAACTGGACGGCAAGCGAATGGTAGAAAGCACCGGTGACATTTTTGGCCAGGAACACGTCAACAGGTAGGTTGTATTCATTCTCTTTGTACTTGGTTTTGTATCGTCATTGCTCTATTTTAAACTCACAGTTGCTCTGGCCAAACTTGCATCTCCCACCACAATCATCTCTAACCGATGTTAAGAAATAATTTCATTATCCAAACGCTACTTCTGTTCCTGTAGAACAAAAATTCGTTCTCGAAGAACAAATTGCCAAATGTCTCTGCTACTCCCGAGGAGCAAGAAATAAAATTCTTGTTCTAGAACAGGAATTTCTAAAAGAACAGGAACAGGTGGGAACATTGCCAAACAGGGCCTAAGCCTATAGATTGACTGAAAATCATAACGAGTAGTAGGACGTGTGGCTTTGGAGAGAGTGTATGTTCAAGTGATCACAATACTCTTTGCATATAATCAGCGACTTTCTGATCATCTTATATACTAACATCCGGCTGATGGTAAACTTACAAATCTCAAGTCGTTCCATAATGTTCACTCCCCAGCCCCTAAACTTAACATCATCACAAGTTCCTGAAGAAATAGTGTGCAAATGCCATAAAAGTTAAGTTGAAAGATGCATACCAGAAGTTAGATATCTAGCAACATCCATCCGTTCCATGTTTGGAGGGATAAGCAGTACTTTTGCATTCAACTCCCAGAGAAGGATAAAAGCAATTAAATATCTGAAAAGAAAGCAACTAAGGAGGTCAAGAGCATAATAAAGTCAAAGAAACAAATTAAGTTAACAGGGAATGAAGAATGTTCTGAAAAACATAATTGTATCATCAACAGTAGAGAAGGTTGAAATGAATTGAATTGTTTTTTATCAATGAAATGAACTGAATTGTGACTCATATAGTAAATTGTAACATTAGTTCTATTTTTCAGAAAGTTGTCAAAAAATTAAAAACATATGCTAAAAAAGTTGGTCATATGTAGGAAAAGTGATTTGTGCCATTTTTAATCCATATCTACTATGTGACACAAATGAGTTTACCATCTCTATACTAGAACTTCAGTTGATATAATCAAGTTTTACTTAAACGCCAACTAATCCACATAGAGTGACTATTTAACTTACATACAATGGAAAAGAAACTCAAATAAGGTTTCTAAATAAAAAATAGGTCTTATTAACCTAAGAATATCTCATTCTATTAAGGGTTTAAAAGAACATCTTATTGGAAAAAATAGAATCATAAAAGAATGATAAAATAGAGAACTAGGTTCCAATCGAATTGATTCAAACTGCACGAATCGTATAAATCATAAGATTCAAACAATAATTGTAAGATTTTTCAGAAAGGACTTAGATTAAGGTTTGAATTGGAATCCTTGGAATTCACAATTCAAATGGTAAATTATATTTTAAACTGTAAGATTTTGACAACTATAATGTTCTGTGCAAAGGCCAATTGTTAGGCATAATTTTACCACATGTTTTACATACTCTGAAATCACTGTAGAAATTGCAGCACCACCAATGCCAAAACCAAAGAGAAATATCAAAATTGGATCCAATATCGCATTGAGCAAGTTTCCAGCACCTGAATAATATCAATTTCGGTATGGTAAACGAGAAAAAGAAGAACAACATAAATCATTTGAAACTGTTACTGGAAGTTCACCAATTCAGAAAGGAGAAATAACTATTGATGAAGACAACTAAGTATCCTTAGCTTATACATTAAGCTGTCTTTCCCAGCAGCAAGTCCAAAATTTGTGCATACACTAACTTTTCAAATATCCAATGACTTCTATGACAATATACATTTACCACAAACTTTTATCATGCTATCAGCTAATTAGCTAAGCACCAGGTAGAGCTTTGACTCCAACTATGTTTTGTTCCAATTAAAGGGTATACCAATAATAAAGTAATTGATATATAAGATACTACTCAAATTACATTTATCATAAATGGATCTAAAAGATTTAACTTGAATCCAGTTAAATGTCTAATTTGTGCATATATATGAAGAAAATAAAGCATATAGGTACTAAGAAAATTTAGCAAATCAAAGTATAAGTTTGAAGTACGTGCTTATGGCATAAAGAGGTGTTTTTGTGTCCAAAAATCCACGAAAGGTGCCTTGTGCAGCAAGCGCAATGACCATTGGTGGAGCACCAAAGGCTCTCAGAGTAAGAAAGTGCTCAGCTGGCAAGCGCATAGGTGAGTCCTGTAAAAGAGTATATCTAGGTGAATGCTTTCTGGTGAACTCTTCAGACAACATTAAGGCATTTCAGCATGTAGGATAATTCTCTAAGGCTTGTTATAAAAGAAAAATTAGCAAATAAAGTAAATCTCAGAATGCTTAAATACATGACCAAAAACATTCACAAGCTCTCATACTGAAAAGAAAATTAAAATGGACTAGAAAAACCAATACATACTATCAGGTAAACCATGAAGAAGATTCACATAAAAAGCAAACTATATACCCAAAATTTATTCTGATTAAATAATGCTGGCAAGTAAACTACATACCTTTCTCTCCACCCAAAACAAGTACAACCACATGATTGTTAAAATCATCTAATTGGATAAATTCTATAGGCAACGAATGCTAGAACCTTCCTAGAGAAGGAAAGAAGTTTTGCTGAAGTGAAGGAATGCATCTTAACTAGAGTAATCCATTGGCTTAAGATATTGGCCCTGTTTGCTGAATTCTCCTTCGATGATCTTTGGAGAAACTGGCTAGAAGTGGCTAATACCTCCACTAGGAAGAATAGAAGTGTGGTAGAGTGGGAACCTCCTCCAGAAGGTGTCATTAAATTGAACTTTGATGTGAGCAGCCAAGGTAACCCTGGGCCTTCGGGTGTAGGGGGTGTGCTAAGGAATAAGGGCAACAGCATTATTTACTTATTCTCAAGGCCGGTGGGAGTGGGAGACTCTACAAGAGCTAAGTTACTAGCTGCGGTTCAAGATCCAGGTTGCCAACCAGCTTGGGGTGGAACATCTTTTAATTGAAGGAGATTCTTAGGTGGTAGTAGGGTGGCTATCAAACCCAGACACTGCCATTTGGGGCTATAGAGACCTCCTCAAAAAAGATAAGTGGCTAACCAGTAATATGAGAATTGATGTTAAATGGGTAACCAGTAATACCGTGGAACATCTTTTAATGAAGGAGATTCTTAGGTGGTACTAGGGTGGCTATCAAACTCAAACACTACCATTTGGGGCTATAGAGACCTCCTCAAAAAAGTGAAGTGGCTAACCAGTAATATGAGAGTTGATGTTAAATGGGTAAGCAGGTTGGCAAATACTGTGGCTGATTCCTTGGCCAAGCAATAGGTATCCAAGGAATTGTAGAGACAGTGAGAAGATCTAGCCGCAGGGCTATTTTTGTACTTTCACTCTTCATTGTTGTACATCTAATTTATGTACTCTCTTTCTTTTGTACACTAAGACCAGATTTGTCCTTTTACCTTTTTTAATATAAATATATCTTTTAGGGTGTTGACTGTCACAAGGTGACACACCCACCAATCTTTTGTTTCTCTCTTTCTCTCTCTCTGAACTTTCAACTTGACTCTGACATGGTATCAGAGCAGGTCACGACCTGATCTACACATAGTATCTCTTTAATCATCTCTGTTACTACTGGTTCAAGAACTCTCTAATAGTATTTGGGAGGTTCCTGAGTGTCCTTTAATCCTCTTCCTAGATCGGCTACATATCTGAACTTTACAAATCATCTTCCTGGACTGCTGCACCATCGGATTCATCTTTCTTCTTAGATCTCCTTGTAGAGACATCGGATCAGCCCGAAATCTTAGATCTGGTGTCTCCCAAAGCAGATCTACCGAATCCTTTTGGTTTGGTTTGGATCAGTTTTGATTTTGAGGGGTTTCGATCCACTCTTCAGTTCGGCAGAGCATTACAGTTACCTTTTCTGGACATCAATTGAAAGGTACATTCTTCTTCATCCTCTGGTTCGAATTTTATTGGTTTTCTGGAAGTGTGTGTTGTTGCCGTTTGTCTCCCAATGGCATCAAAAAGGGTGGAGGTTCTTCCTATTAAATTCAATGGCACAAATTATGCATTATGGAAGTTTAACTTTCAATTCCATGTCGAAGCTAAGGGTCTTTGGGGATATCTGGATGGTTTTGTATCTAAACCTAATGATTCTAATATTAAGGGCCTTAATCAATGGAAGATCGACAATGCAAAAATTGCATCATGGATCCTAGGTTTAGTCGAAATTGATACTGCTATTCCTATGAGAGGGTACAGAACAGCCTATGAGATGTACCAGTATCTTGAAAAGGTTTATCAGCAATCGAACACCTTTAGACAGTATCAGATAGAGGTTGACATCTTCTCGTACTATCAGAGAGACAAAAAGGTCCAGGAATATTATGTAGGGTTCATCAACCTTTGGACAAAATATCAATTAGTTCACATGGGAAATGATCAGTCAGACTATTGTGTAAAGTACATGAAAGAACACTTTGACAGAAGGAAGATTATGCATTTCCTAATGCATCTAAGGCCTGAGTTTGAAGTTATCAGATCTAATATCCTAAGCCAAGGAACACTTCCTGACTTAGATACTATTCTTGGGGAAATTTTGAAAGCGGAAACCATATTTGCTACACAGACTACACTGGATGGGAGAAAAGATCCCAACATTGATGCTGTCTTCCTAGCAACTAAACCAAAAGGGAAGGACTTCTCTAAGGTACAATGTTATGAATGTAAGGAGTTTGGGCACGTTGTCTCCCATTGTAAGAAAAAGAATACATACACTTATTGCAAGCAGCTCAGCCATATTATTACTGAATGTCCTACCCGGCCTCAAAAAGGTAGTGGATCAAATCAAAAGAAGGGAAGCTACAAGCCCTATCAGACTGTTGTAGATGGTTCAAATGCCGCCTCCTCTATTACTTCTGGAGTTGGCCAAAACGACAGCTCATGTCCTCGGTCTTTTCCTCAGCCTTCTCTGCTATTGGTCTGTCTGGTAAGTCACCGACCTATTGTCTTTCACCAAACCACCTCTGGTATATTGACTCAAGAGCCTCTAACCATATGACAGGGGCCACACTCGGTCGGTATCGCAAACCCCATCCTCCCAATAAACATATTATCACTGCAAATGGTGAAAAATTGGATATACTTGGGTGTGATGATTTGTATTTATCTACTTTTAAGTCATCTTCGCTTCATTTATCCAAAACTTTATTTGTACCTAAGCTCACCACCAATTTGATTTCTGTTGGCCAACTTGTAGAGGAAGGTAACACTGTCTCATTCACTTCTGATGGTTGTTTGAAACATGACCGGAAAACTGGGGAGGTAAAGGGGAAGGGGCATAGACTGGGAAGATTATTTGCTTTGGAGTTTGAGAAGAATAAGACTGCACATGTTTCTACTTCGTGTTTGCTTTCCACCACTTCTAGCTTTGAATCTTTTAATTATAATAATGATTGGCATTTGTGGCATTAACGCCTTGGTCATCTGTTTTCTAAGAAACTTGATCAATTATTTGCTTCTGGTAGTTTACCTATTTCTACTGTTTCCTTTAAGAATGTCAATAAAGATTGCATTACTTGTGGTTTATGTAAGTGTCATATTTTACCTTTTCCTTTTCACTTTGAGCATGCTACAGTTTCTTTTTATTTAATACATAGTGATGTTTGGTCGTCTCCAGCTGTCTCACGGTTGGGATACAAGTACTTTGTAACCTTTATTGATGACTACACCCGTTTCACTTGGGTTTATTTTCTTCGAAAGAAATCTGAAGTGTACACTATATTTAAACACTTCCATACCAATGTTACTACCCAATTTAATGCTCAGATATGTGTGCTATGATAGGATTCAGGGGGAGAGTATTTTGATAGGGACTTCCAGATTTATTTAAAACAACATGGAATTCAATCCCAAAAATCCTATTCAGGCTCCCCACAACAAAACGGGGTAGCAAAAAGGAAGAATGGGCATATCTTGAGTGTAGTCAAAACACTTCTACAAGATTCCCATGTACCCTCTTGGTTTTGAGTGGAGGCGGCCAGCACTATTGTGTATCATAGAAATCATCCTCCGTCATCTGCTTTAACTAATTCTTCTCCTTTTCAATCTCTCTTTCACAAACCCCCAGATCTATCTATGCTCAGGTTTTTTGGTTGTACTTGTTTTGTTCACCTTCCACCTCATGAACACACAAAGTTAACTACACAAGCAGCATTGTGTACTTTTATGGGGTACAGTCCTAAACATAAAGGATTCCTTTGCTATGATCCTTCAGTCCATCGTATTAGAATTTCTCGTAATGTAGTTTTTCTTGAGAGTGTGTCCTTTTTTGAACATATTGTAAAATTCCCAGCTCCTTCCATTTTCTTGTTGCACAGTTTTGACTCTACAGGTACCTCAGATATACCATTGCCACCTCCGCAACAACTTCAGACCTACTTCAGGAAGCAACGGTCCTCAGTCTCAGTGCCCCCCTCTACTCCACCACCAGTTGCTGATCCAGTCAATCCAGCTGCCTTAGTAAGTGCACCTGATCTTCCCCTTGAACCCATTGCACCCACTTTACGCCGTTCCTCTAAAATTTCTCACCCACCTGAACATTTGGTTTTTCACCAGACCATAGCTCCTTTTCTATTGTTTTATCTACCACAAACATTCCCAGATCTTACCAACAGGTTGTAGCAGAACCACACTAGAAATATGCCATGGATTCTGAGATTCGAGCCCTTCTTGAGAATGACACCTAGGACTTGGTCAAAGCTCCACCTGAGACATCTCTTGTAAGAAGTCGATGAATCTACTCTATGAAACTGAAATTTGATGGAAGCCTAGACAGATACAAGGCTAGGTCTGGCTATATTTGCAGCCAAACAGTGGACAATCAATCAGATGAATGTCAAGAATGATTTTCTCCATGGGGAGTTGAAGGAGACAATCTATATGAACCCCCTCCTAGATATTGTATAGACCCGTAGCTTGTTTGTCGTCTAGAGAAGTCACTTTATGGCCTGAAGCAAGCTCCTAGAGCCTGGTTTGAGAAGTTCAGATCTGTCATCACTGATGCTAGCTTTATCCAAAGTTCTTTTGATTATTCGATGATATACTCATTACAGGGGATGATACAGAAGGAATTGCTAAGCTACAACAGTTGAGTCCTTTAAGATGAAGGACTTGGGGCCTTTGACATATTTCTTGGGGCTTGAAGTTAGCGGAAACTCTCGGGGCTATTTTGTTAACCAACAAAAGTATGCGGCTGATCTTGTTAAACTGGCAAATCTTAGTGATTCCAAGATTGTGGACACCCCACTAGAACTGAATTTGAAACTCAGCAAAGATGATGGTTCTCTTCTTGAAGATCCTACCCTTTATCGTCAACTAGTGGGCAGTTTAATTTATCTCACCATGACTCGGACAAATATATCTTATGCAGTTCAGCTGGTGAGCCAGTTCGTGTCTTCTCCAAGACAACCTCATTTATCTGCAGTTCATCGGATCATTAGATATGTGCAAGGCACCCTGTCACACGAGATATTTTTCTCTTCCTCATCCCCTATTAACCTTACGGCTTATGCGGTTGCTGATTAGGCTGGATGCCTTGACACCCGACGGTCCACTACTAGCTGGTGTGTATTCTTGGACAATCTCTCTTATCTTGTGGAAGTGCAAGAAACAACCTATTGTATCCAAATCTTCCACTGAAGTTGAATACAAGGCTATGTCTTCCGTGTGTAGTGAGATCATATGGCTCCGCGCTCTTCTATTTCAAATACTTAATGAACCATCACCATCTGTTCCTCTCTATGCAGACAATGTCAGTGCAATCAAAATTGCTTCCAACCCCGTCTTCCATGAGCACACCAAACACATAGAAGTTGATTGCCACTTCATCTGCGATCTCCTTCTTGAAGGTATTATATCTCTTCCTCATGTCTCCTCTGGGCTCCAATTAGCAGACCTGTTGACTAAAGCAGTGACTCGAGCTCAGCATCTATTTCTCATGGACAAACTGATGCTTATTCCTAGGGATCAGTTTGAGGGGGAGTGTAGAAACAGTGAGAAGATCTAGTCGTAGGGCTATTTTTGTACTTTTACTCATCATTGTTGTACATCTAATTTATGTACTCTCTTTCTTTTGTACACTAAGGGCAGATTTGTCCTTTTACCTTTTTTAATATAAATATATCTTTTAGGGTGTCAACTATCATAAGGTGACACACCCACCAATCTTTTGTTTCTCTCTTTCTCTCTCTGAACTTTTGACTTGGCTCTGATAGGAATGTCTTTTTTGGTAGGGATGTCCATAAAAAACCGAAAAACCGAACCGCAAAATGCGATTAACCGAACTGCTCAACTTGGGATTTTTGAAAAACCGAAGGACCGGTTCAGTTTTTGGTTAACCTACAAAAAAACCAACGATTAACCGAACTGACATATATATATATATATATATATATATATATATATATATATTTTTATGTTTATTTTATATATTTTTAATATATGTCACATATTTTCTATGTATTATATATAAATATATACTTATGTTTTATTTATAAATATATTATATATATTATATTTTTAAAATATTTATAATATATTATATCATTTATTATTATTATATAATATTATACATATATTTGTATAATATATATTATAAATATAAAAAACCGAAAAACCGAAGAACCGAACCGGTCAAAAACCAAAACCAGTGGACCGGTTAACCAGTGGTACCAGTTCGGTTTTGGTTTGGAGAATTGGAAAAACCGGTACCACCGGTTCGGTTTACAAAAAAGTGTCATGGTTCGATTAACCGAGCCATGGACACCCCTATATTTTGGGCTAGTTTGTAACTTATTCTAGCAAGTCTAGAATGTTGTATCTAACTTTTCTGGAGAGGTCACATCTCATGCCTCTCCTTGGGATGCTTGTACTCCTTATCTTTGGCACCTAATAAAATTCATTCATTTATCAAAAAAATAAATAAATTCTATAGGCAAGCAATCTTCTCATTGGATCCATAAATGATTCATCCACCAATTAGATGCTTATTACAACTTTTCTACATGATTTAGCATAAGTCATCTATTTCTTTCTTTGGTATCACCAATTTTCTATTACTAAAAAATCTTCTTTTTCTTTTGTGTGTGTGACCGATTCTTGGTTATGTTCATCAAGCAATACAAGCAGTATAGCCACTACATGTACAATAGACAGAGCCCCATGCTCAGCCCTTAACTCTGTACGAAATTTATCACTACATATAATGCCAAAGGGAAAGGGTACTCCCTCATGTCATTATTTGTCTATTAACTCCTTCATGAGCTAAGGAGTCAACAAGTATGTTGGAAAATCTTGGAATCCATTGTAAAAGTAGCTTCCAAAGTAATTGTTAAGATTTTTGCTTCCCTAATCTGATGTCTAAACTTCCATGCTTCCACCATATCTCCTTTTAACCAATCTATAAGTATCCACGAGTCCCCTTCAATGATCATATTCCCAGTCTGCCTCCCTTGCCAATCTCAGCCCTCAAAGCACTGTTTATAGTTCAACTCTTTATAATTTCCAATACCTATTGGACCTGAAAATACCAACATGATCTTTCCTCTATGATTTCTGAATGCACCTCCTACTCCTAAAAGCCCCGGGTAACCCAAGATTCACCTTTAAAAGTTTAATTTTACCATATGCTATATAGTAAAGGAGACCATGGTATACTAGGCTTGATTTTTCTGGTAGAAATAGATGCTATCACTGGCCACTCCCTAAGGATATCACCAGTGGAGTAACTAGAGAACCAATGACTGGTGGGGAAATTATTGTATCTTTGCTTAACACAACCAGATATTTCTTATGCTGTAAGCATGGTGTGTCAGTACATACATCAGCCTTAGATGCATGCTATCTCAAGGGCACTCTTGGTAGAAGTTTATTGTACTCTCTCATCATGGCCATCTCAAGTTAGAAGCTTATACTGATGCTGATTGGGCTAAATCTCAAGATGATAGGAGATCCACCTCTGCATAGTGCACTTTTGTAGGTGGTATTGTGTCATGGAGAAGCAAAGGACAGTCAATGGTGGCAAGGTCAGACGCTAAAACCCAGTATTGTGCCATGGCTCATGGTTTTTAGAGTTGCTATGGTTAAGAATTTTCATGCCTCAATTGGGGGTTTCTTTTGAAGAACCAATGGAGCTTTTTGTGACAAACAGGCAACCATCAATATTGCAAATAACTTATCCAACATGACCAAACCAAACATATAGAAGTTGACAAATTTTTTGTTTTTTTAGGAAAATGCTTCTTATATTAAGAGGAAAGCATGTACATGAAGACAGAATTAAAAGAGCCCCCCCCCCCCCAAAAAAAAAGGGCATCACACCATTTTTTTGTGCACCTCAGCCTTAGCTAAACTATCAGGACAGAATTCAATTCTCTTGGGATCCAACAAAAAGAAGAGCAAGATCTCAAGCTTCAGTCAGAAAGTTACATCTTGGGATTGATCCCCGCCTTCACCAGGGCTGGGGGGGTTATGGGTTTTGAGGGACAGGCTACCCCTCCAATTGTGTAGCCCCGTTAAGCAATAAATAAATAAAAAGAATAAAAAAGACATGCCAGCTGTTATGCCAATCAACTTACAAAAGAACTAGAAGCATATACATGATCAAGAAAGTTAACATCACTCAAGTATGAAATAAACACGGAATTATCATGGGGGTAGGAACTAGGAATGGAACCCAAGAGGATGGATTGAGCCATTGAGGACAAAACTATCCTATCATGGTTTCACAATTCACCCAGAAAGTCATTGAGCAAATACATGCAAGTCCTTTATATGCCATTTAGAAACTAAAAATGAGATTTTAGTGGAAGCTTTATATGTACTGGATCACTTCTACGTACAGCAGGTATACCCATGATATTCATTAGGAATCCCGAACCAATAGAGAGTGCAATGGTTTCTGAGATGCCAATGCCAGCAGCTAACGCTAAAGAAGTAGAAACTGCAGGGAGGTACTTCTTGTCTTGTTTATCGCCAATACGTTCTCGAGGCATGGACGGAGAATCAAAACCTTCATCGCCTAGAGTAAGAGTAAGAAATACTTAACAAATGGATGGTATCAAATAAAGCAAGAAATTTTAATAATAAAGAATGAAACGCAATAACTTTAAGCTTAAGCTGCAATTCAAATTAATCCAATTTATGTAATGAAAGATTGATATGTACTCCCACCATTTATGGGAGAGAGATCATTGTCGTCATTGATCAAGGCCTGCTCTTCGGCAACAAAAGATGTCGTAATGTTAAGTAGGGGAACGTTAAACAATTTGGACACCAGATTGAACACCGAAATTGACACGCCAACCGCCGCTAGTTCAACAGATCCTACAACAGAGAGCATCATAATAAGTTTACTTCTACCATGATATTCAACCACATATTATGTCCGTGACAAGAAGATTAAGATCCATAAGGACCCCAATCTAGAGCGAGCCAGGAGAAAGAAAATCCAGGTGAATGGTGACATACCCAAATGGCCAACGAACGCAGTGTCAACCAACGATGTAATTGGATCAGCAGCCAGAGCCAATGCAGCTGGCAATGCAATGGACAAAATATCCAGCGCAATCTCATCAACCCTCAACTTGTCCCTGCAAGTTATACGATTTAGCAGGGAATCCAGGGAATTAAGATTTCAACAATGCAATTAGGGTACCTTAAGCGATGAAGAAGACCAGTAGTCAAATTGAAGAACGAGGAAGCGGACGACATATTTGGACTTGGGCTTTGATTCTCAATTGGTTCACGAAGAACTTGACGTTCTGACTTTCGTGTTGGGTTTTCCAAGCGGCTTGCAGGGTTTTTGCGAGGTGAAGCTCTAGGGATGGCTTGAAGCCGAACGGTAGAATTAGGGTTTCCTCGGAATGTTGGAGATTTACATGACGAAGTGGTCGAGTAGGGGCAATAACAATTCTGATGTAGAGAGCAAGCATAGGGAATTGGATGAGAGAAACAACTCGACATATCCTGTAAGTCCTGTTTACTGACAGTCACACAGACACTCTTTCAGGGGAAGGAAGAAGAAAGAGAAAGGTTTGAAGGTTTTTTTATTAGAAAATGATAAGTGCAAGATTTTAAGGTTTTGGGGTCTCGAGTTCCAACTTCCAATTCAACTAGAAATGCCCGGGAACCATATATTTTTCTCTTACCTATCAACCGAAATAACGGGTGGCTAACGAGCCAATTGAATTGAAAATATCTTCCAGGATGAGCGTTGTGAGAATGGAAGGGATTGTCACAGTTCACAATTAGCTTGGGGTTTCCCGTTTGCCATGACTAAAAAGTCCAAAATCCAAGACCAACCTAAGCTTGGATTCGTGGATCCAGAATTTTAAGGCCCAACCCAACCCAAGGCGTGGAACCGACAGCAACTTCAAGCTAATGGTTGACGCCGTTCATTCGGTTCAATCTCTCGTTGAGCCCGACTCAGTGCTGGTGGGTCGAAGGCCCGAAGAACGGTTTAGTTCGTATAACAGCCAATCATACAAGGGTTAGGGTTGTTCATGGTCCGGTTCTCTGCAGTCTGGAGAAGATTTTAGAGAATTTTTTAAATCAAACCAAAATATTTTATTACCGTCGCTGTGGTCCCTAATACAATTTGAGTAATTCGATTGGGCTTAATCCGAAAGCCCAAATGACATACCCAAACTGAACCAAACCATTTTTGTGTCTAAACTAAACCATCCATTTTAGTTAGTTCAATTCGGTTTGGCAGTCTAGTACATATAATGCACACCCCCAAAAGGGTATGCCTGTGCCTTCAACGGAAAAAACGGAACATATAGGGCAAATTTTATTATCGTCCTTGAACTTTGTTTACAATTAATTAATTACAAACTCTTCCCTATGTTTGAAGTTTATATTTACACTTAAACTAATCCTTCACGTAGTTGATGAATACGAAGATCAAAGTTAAGATGCTTTTGCAATGATTTCAACCCAAAAATAAAACAGGATGATTAAATAGACAATTTACTCATTAATTCTATATTTCTACCAAAAAAACTCATTAATTCTAGATATTTTAAATGAAAATGAAGCCATTACGTATTTAAAGAGATCAAATCCTAAAGCAAAGATTTCATGCTCCTGTGTATAGATTCAAATCCTAAAGCTGTAATTTAAAATAGCAACATGCATGATGCATGATTTTTACACACAATTCAAATAGACGAAACTCTTTTTTTAGAAAACTATAGCTAGGTACCCTATATTCTATGGGTAAGTGACATTATAGGTCTCAACTTTTAAGTGTGACAATCAAATACCCTAAATTTTTAAATTCATTTTATACGATCCTGATAATAAATTTGTTAATTGTTGTTGCACTAAAGGTTAAAAAAGTCATTACGTATCAGTCCATATCAATTAATATATATCGTATCGAGCCCTTCCCGATACGTCCCTACAAGGGTTGTATCGGGTCAGGACCTGGTTCAGAGGGTAGCCGAGATTTAAACCGGCCCCTCTGAACCAAAATTGAAAAAAAAAAGGACCGATACAGACCAACAGTATTGATACTTTGAACCTTGGTTGCACTTGATAGTTGAGGTCCTTAAGTATCATTATCCCCAAAGTAAAAGGGTATTTATCTGTAATTTTCCTTTTTTTTCTGCCTTGGTTTTTTCATGATGGACATGTTAGGAGTGGTTCTAGTGTTTAAATATAGATTTCCTCTAATTCCTTGTATTTTGTGTTTTAGTGGGTTCAAAACCGATACATATCATATGATCTGCATTGATATATTACATTATTTTGAACCTTGCATTTAACTTATTTTTGGAATTTTCAATATATAATATTTCTCAAAGCAAATTAAAGTTCCACTAAACCAATTGTCAACTTAGTTTTTTTGTTCATATTTGAATGAGTTATATTGGGAAGAGGCCTGCGTCCAAACTTCCATTGTGCAAATTAAGGATTATGTATGGTTTAATCAGGATGTGTTGGTTCTCCTTAGGGATGGCAATAAGGCAGGTTTGGGGAGGTTTTTGTAAATTTTAGACCTTATCCATCTCCCAACTCATACCTATCCCAAAATTCATAGCTAGTTGGATTTTGAGAATCCAAACCCGTATCTAATTTCTTATTATATATAAATAATAAATAAGTAAAATAACATGAATAAACAACAAAATTTTCAATTAATTGATTAAGACATGTAAAATATATAAACTATCAATTATCCTATACATAAAATTCATATGGTCTCCAACAATATGCACATTCGGGAGGGTCCAAAATTCATCCTTCAAACAAAAAGAAAATGCCCCATGGGAGCGGATACCCACCAGATAGAGTAGAAATTGCCATTCATAATTCTCCCAAGTCCTGAGCGGTTGATCCCTCAACCTAATTCTAAGCACAAGAAAAAGTAAACCAATTCTTATCGCAAGGTGAATTAGTTCTATCTTAGACATACATATTTTTCCGTATAATGAGTAGGATAGGTTTATTTGGAAGGGGATGGCTAATATTGGGAAGTTTTTAAGTAATTTTATCTTTTGAAATAGAAGTTGGTTAATGTTCAGTTGGATAGAAGAATTTTAAATTCGAAAAGGAAAGTTTGGAAACTTAAAATTCCTTCCAAGTTTAAATTACTTATGTATAGCAAGTCATTAGGAGGCTTATTTTTGCTAAAAGTGACTTAATTCAATTAGGCATTGGCATTAAAAAAAAGACTTAATTCAATTAGGTATAAATGTGG